GGGGGTACATTTTACTTACTGGGAATAGCCGGTTTGAAATAGTGGGGCAATTAGCTCCTTGATTTCTTTTCCCCTGCATTGTCTCGGTATGCTTGCATACGACTTCCGGTGATCCAACATTTGCGGATAACCCACCGGCAACCTTGAATGGGCTGAAACCTTGCATCGCTTCTTCTGCATTTATTTCAATCAGCAATGAAGGAAAACCGTCTGAATCTTTGTTTGCTTCCATCAGGACCTCACGAATAAAATTATGTACATTTTTCAAGTTGCTCCTATTCCCACAGAACAAAACATACTCGTCATTATAGTTTGACAATTATTCTCATCTGGAGGCAGAATTTAAGGTGCATACACTCGTGCGAACACACACACAGGCAAACCACCACATATATTCGTCTATGTGTGATTCTTCGCGATCGTGTGTCGAGAGTGGGTGTGTGGTTGTGCATTAAAGCATTTGTCTAGTCATATTCCTCGGAACAGCTTCAGCGTAATTTTTAATCTGTCACGCTAAAATTATCCCCTGGAGATTGGCCCAGCTTCCTTTGCTTCTCCTTCGTACGACGTCCTCGGCCACGTCTGATTGCAAGCCCAAAATGACTATCGTGTGCACACTGCACTCGTGGTTACAATGAATTTCTACACACCACAGACCGCAAGTCATTTCACTCAGACTTGTTCAAGCTAACTTGGATTGGAGTTTACCGTCAAATCCGCACTGGTTTGATTCCATTTACTATGTCGATGTGCGCAACAGCCCAGCACGAATTTATTTTTACCTTGACTCCCGGAGGTCTACGATATTGTTTTTCAAAAAGAGGGTGAGTGAGAGGTATATCAAAGCAAATGGTGGCAAGTAACCCGCAGATAATTAATATATAACTTTCATTTGGGTTCGTGCTACTAACCAGGATGCGTGATCCTGTCGAAAGTGTCACTGTGATCCGTTGCACTCCTCACATCCCCACGGGATGCTCCTTGGCTTCACGTTAGCAAAACAGTGGAGAATTAATTAGGCGGGTTCGGTTTTTCTGCGCAGTTTTGAGCAAGCTCATTTTTTACTAGACCATATCAAGTCCTAAACGAAATACATAAAAATGATTGGAAAACGCTTTCTTGTTTCATACACTGCATTATTTTGATCTCTCGCAGAAATTAATGCCAATATTTCACTGGGTGCTGTCTCCAATCACATCATCGCCACCTACCAGTTCAACATTATCCGTATCAAAGTATGCTGGTTTGTAAACATTATCAGACCAATGCCGAGGTAACGGAGACGAGTAACTCTACGTGCAGCATTCGTGTAGTAACTGTAGTTTATCATCATAAACCATTTCTCACTGTTTCACCCGATAATTCTGTTTTATTTTGCATTCATTCTTGACAGACGGTTGTTCTGTTGCTTACAATCTCTTGTGTCATGCAGTTCATCGATAACGAAATTCTTATGTTGATCGACAGTTGGCTGACTGGAATGCATTTTAGTTCTTGGCAAGACCCACCAGTAATCTCTAAATTGATTGTAACGGAAACCGTTGACAATTAAACGGATGTTTGCTTTTCCAGTCCTGGCAGCAAACTAAAGCTGCACTCGAGACTCATTAGTTTCAACAAAATGGAAGACAGCAATATCAGGCGATCCTTCCACCTTCATTCGAAATTCCAGCACAATAGCAAAAGGTTGTTTTATCCGGGCAACCATGTCCCATTTATTTCTCCTGCACAACTCGAACATTCGCAGTTCTCTACCGGTGTAAAACAGCTCAGCATCTTTCGCAATCCAAGTTGTTCCAATATCATATCACGTTTTCCAAGAAACATTTCAATTTGTCCGAATGTTATTTCAAGCTGTCGCGTTTCCCTCATAGACCATGACAAGCCTCGCAGCTATGTCTGGATGACCACCATGTAGCGCAGATTTCTCTACCTTTCATTGAAGCGCGGGGGACGATTATGAGACGGGCTTCGGTCACCCAAGCCTCAATTTCCATGACATACATATCGGTTGTTTGTCTTGCTAGTACGCGTACGCCTCTGTGTGTATGTGTTTGTGTGTTTGTCCCCCTCCGCTGATACCAGTGAATTATGCGCGATCAACACCTGAAGCATTGCTTACCTGCATCACATGATGCTGCAATAGAATTCATAAGCTACACCTCAAGCGGTCGCACCTCGGACGACAATCGATCATGCTCGATCGATATACGCATCAGTGTTGACCAGATTCACATCCAGTTTCTTCGACACTTTCAGGTTATAAGCCACCTCAGTGACACCACCACAGAAGCACCTTGAAGCACTGAACAATCAAAATGACCATTTTGGCCATATTTTCGGAACGGAATGAGATATCTCTATCAAATCGTCTGCAACAGAAATAACGTAACGAGGGCTGTCGAAAGATGCCATAATTTTCATAACAGTTACGGAATTTTATAAGAAAATAAAAGTTTAAAAATTCGAATGTTTCCAAAATGCACTTTTCTGCGTATGGGCTTTGAATTCGAAAATCTTCATCGCTGAAAGCATATAGTCCTACCTAAACACTTCCACCACCCAAAGTAAATCGGGTGAATTATGATTTACGTATGAAATTCACAAGTAGTAAATGCAAACTGTCTTCGAACAGTCGTATTGTCATTGTCGCATTTCTCTATTCAGGTTCACGATGGGAGCACTACCGTGGTCGTTCTTAGAATAGTGATTACTGAAGCCAATATCAATCAGAAATTGTGAAAATGTTCGATAAGTTAGTAAGTTTTAGGAGATCATAACACCTTTCGGTAATCATAGCCGAACCACAGCGCGGTATTTAGGGTTCTTGCAGTCAACCCAGGGAAAACGATGGATGCACAGCATCAGTTGATGAACATCACACATTGTTAAACAAAGGATGAAACAATCTATGCCCCTGACGTGATATTACCTGAGCTCTCGAATCTGAAAAGGAGGAGGACATTTTTCCGCGCAACGTGTTATGAAGCAGGTCCAAAGGAGAGAAGGTGATAGTGGTACAAGTTGAACCAGTGGTGAAAATATTGGTCAAACAATCTGAAATGATTCTCGGACATCTTGATATGATATTGGGACAACTTGGATTGCCATGGTACAGACGGCAAGTCGTCTTAGGGCCTTCTAGATTTGCTTTGAGTAGAAGAATGCATTCAGTTTTCGTTTGACTGTTAGCAAGGGCAACGTTTGTGGCAAGAAACTTCGTGTTGCTTCGAACCGCATTTCGATCATTACGAAGCAAGGACTGACAACCCGTAGACTGGTGCTGAGATGAGCGAGGCGCTAGGCCCGCAGTAAGCTTTGTAGCCTGGGTTGTGCTATATCGTGGATATGGCAAATGAAAAACAATCTGACCAGATGCCCAGAGGTCGATTGTGTTTTGCCTATAAGGTCCCGGGTTTGATCCCCGGTTGGGTCGACGGATTCATACTGCTGATGGGACCGAACCAGGTCAAAACAGCTTTCTAACTTTTCAGTTCACGCCTCATTTGCTATATAAGCTACGAAATTCTTCTTTGAAATATATCTTTCATTCATAGGACCAAAGACTCGTGTTCGTCCGATACAGTCTGAACGATAAAGTCCATGATGTTACATTCATTACTCAGTTTTAATCCAATTATTGAAACTGCCGACAAAGAGACTTTGGCCTCAGGTGTGCGTAGCCCTGTCCCCACGTTTGGTTCTCACGTCACGGCTAGCTGAAAGAACACGTGTTCATCATTGGCATAAATACCTGTTTTATCTTTGCACATACCATAAATGAACTGTACTGGATTTTGTGCTTCATCCCGTTTTCTTTCGTTCGATCGATGTTAAAATTATTTATTCCCCTAACGAACGTCGTTCCCCCGTTTTCTGTCTGCTCCTCACATGCAAACAACAAAAACTCTAAAATTGGTCAAACAGGCGGGAAAATATTGGAATGAAGGTATGTACAAATTCACTGGAGACTTCAACACGTTCCTCAGCAATGCTGATAGCTTGTTCCTAAATTTAGTTTAAGGAGATTTAGAGCTCCTGGTATTGTTGGATACAGTAGAATTATTTGGCAACAGTCATCTGATGAATCCACGAAAATGTAGTTGAACTACAACAGGTAAACTACGGCGTATGTCTATTGTGATTATATAGTAACCATAGTAACCATCATCCCGATACAGTCGAAGTAATAGGGTTCGAGTCCTGACGCCTTTGCAAACAGGCCGGAAGATTGCTCTAGGATGAAGTAAGCTCAGCTGATCCAACTTCCGCTTGTTTTTGGTGCTGCGGTTTTATTGCAACTCTCCACTAATTGTTGTTTTCTATTGATTGATGCGACATTTAATANTAATATAAGTAAATAAAATAATATTTAACTGCTTACCGGAGGATACGAAATGAGGAAACTTCAACCGAACAAATAACGACCGAATGAGTCACTAATGCAATCTTTCTGCCACCTTCATTCATATTTTGTAAGCTTCCCATTTTACTATGAAGAGGGATTTGCAAACACAACTTGGTAAATCAGCTTATTGACGGATAAATAACAAAAGCAGACGGATTTTTATCACTGATATGTAGAATGGGCACATTTTTATGCTGTCTGGTTGAGACTGCACTGAAATCAATGTAAAAAATGTATTAAACAAAACGTTCTCCAGCCAGATACGTACTAAAGTAATCAGACTCTAAAACCGGAAATATCAGACACGTGCTATTTAAGACAGAAAGAAATACAGGTCACACGGAAGACATTATGCTCCCTGAAATATCACGGCCATGCTATCAATCACGGTGCTTATGATCGCATCTGCAGACTTTTTGTGGCCCCATTCACAATAATTATGGTTTTAGGCAAGTGTTCCTCCTGTTCACGGGGATAATTTTAACACAACCAAAAGAAAATAAACTTGAATGGAACCTGAGAAGCTTTTAAACTTTTGTCGACCGCTGCCAGGATAGCTTTTGCACAATGGGGTCTTTTGTTTTCCCAGGAAATGTTCCGTGTGCAAATTATATCAAGCAATCATCTTCGGATGAAATGTTATTGTGGTGGTATTGGTGGTTGTGGTGGTGGTGGTGGTGGTGGTGGTGGTGGTGGTGGTGGTGGTGGTGGTGGCTGTAGTGCGTTTCAAGCTCGCGACCGCCGCCTCACT